AGAAAGATGAGGCTTTCTGCTCCCGTAAAGACTTACAGCCTCAGAAACCCTGTTCAGGGTCGCTATGAGTCGGAACCAACTCAACGGCACTTAACAACAACAATATATATATACTGACAATGGACAATTCAATGCCAAAGCCTGAAAGTGATAGAATGTTCCAAAGCCATGACTGGTGGGTCTTGCAGCCCCTAGATTCCTCTCCTACAGGCAGACCAGACCCCACACCTCTGACCCTGCATCCTGGCTCTCTCTCTCTTCCTCTCCCAACCCTGCACCCTCCCCAGCTGACCTGTTTGTTGTTCTCTTTGATGTTGAGTGGTTCCAGGGAGGCAAAGTCTCTGCAAAGAAAGTGCCAGTCAGGGCCAAGGGCCTTGTTGGCTGATCAGCATTGCCCACTCTGTTCCCAGCCCCCACTCCCACCCGGCTCACATTTTGTCCGGGTAGAATCGATGCAGGATGGCACAAAAGGCCAACCCATTGCGCCAGGATGTGGTGAAGTTGGTGACACGGACACCTTGGTAGCCAGCAGTAACTTCCTGACACCATTCCAACAGGGACTGGCTAGAGCTGACCAGGGCAGGTGGCGGCTGGGGACACAGAGGTGGGCTCAGGGAATGTGTCACCAGGACCTGTGCCCTCTGCCCCTCAGGAAGCTAAGGCCTGGTGCCAAACCGCCCCAGCTCTGGGTATGCAGGAGTCATTAGCGACAGCTCTAGGACCTGACAAAAAGGTTTCGAGCTCCAGGGTTATTCACCAAGGACCACCTAAAAAGTCAATGGCCCTCAGGCAAGATCACCAGCAGTGACACCTCAAGATCAGCCCAGAAAACCAGCACAGGGGTATCCAGCTCCTTTGGGACTGGGCAAGACAGGGAGGGTGGGGGGAGGGGGAGAGCCAGGGAATCCTGAGAGAGGACGTGGGAGGGGGCTCCTTGAAGCTGAGCCCCCACCCCATCCCAGACAACCAGATGGATCCATGCACAGCCGCCGTTCACTCAGCCCCATGTTAGTGGGAAGCAGCAGACTCGGCCCTCAGGGGGCCCCCATCCCTACCTGGCTGTCCCACAGCCTTCTGTCTTCTTCCGACTCCTCTGGGGAGGAGGCCCTCAAGGGTGTGGGCACCCCAGCCCCTGCCCCATTGGCCACCTGCACTTCAACCAGGCTGGCTTCCGGGGGGCTTCTCTCAGCTTCTTGTACGTTCTGGGCCCCCAAGACCTGAACCTCTGCCTCCAGAGACTCAGACATTCTAGATTTGTTCCCTGGGGATCCTAAAACTTTTCTCTCCAATTGTTGGGTCCCCATAGCCCTGGATTCAGCTTCTGAGGGCTTCCATACCCCAACCTCTGCCTCCTGGACCCTCAAAATTTTAGTCTCTGTCTCCTGTGCTGTGAAAATCTCTGTTATTGCTTCCTGGGACCCTAAAACTTCCTGTTTAGTGTTAAGGACCATGAGAGGCTCACCTTTGGCTTCTAGAGTCCCCCACACTGCAGTCTCTGCCTCCTGGACCCCCAAAAGCTCAGCTTTTATCTCCTCAGCCTCTGCAACTCTTGTCTTTTGAATTCCTAGTTCTTCACCATCTGCCATCACAGCCTCTGCTCTTGGGACCACTAAGCCTCCTACCTCTTCCTCCGGGACCCCCAATATCTCAGACTCTGCTGTCTCAACTTCAATCCCTGGGACCCCTGAGCCCTCATCTACTTCCTCCTGAGAATCAGTTTCTGCTGTCCCAGTCTCGAGCTCTGGGATGCTTGAACCTATTACTTCTGCCTCCTGGGTCCCCAATATCTCAGCTTCTGTCCTCTGAGTTTCTGTCCCCTGTACTCCTGTGACCCCCACTTCTGTCTCCTGAGCCCCCAATATCTCACACCCTGCTAGCTCAGCTTTTATCCTCAGTACTTCTGAACCTCCAGATATCTCCTGGGTCCCCAATATCCCAGACTCTGCCATCCTAGCTTCTGTCCCTGGAGCCACTGAAACTCCCACGTCTGTCTTCTGTATCCCCAATACTTCTGATTCTGTCACCCCAGTTGCCTCTGATTCCATGTCCCTTGATCTAGTTCCCTCTATCTCCTCGGGCCCTGAAGCCACTGGTTCTGCCATCCCCGTCTCTGTTCCCAGGACCCCTGCATCCCTAGTTTCTGTCTCCCAGGTCCCCAGAGCCCTAGACATTGCTTCCTGCTCAGCTACTGGTGGGGTCTCCTGGCTTCTGCTCACCTGGGGCCTAGCACTTGCTGCTCCAACTGAGGGGCCCTGCTCTAGGCCAGTCTTCCCAACATCAGGGGCTCTGTCCCTCACCTCAGTGTCCTCTCTCCTCTGGGAGTCCCCAGGACGCCCGGAGTACCCTGAAGACTCTGCTGGGGATAGCCTCAGACCTGGAGGTGCCTCATCTCTGCTCCTAAGTCCTAGTCTTCCATGAAATCCCCTAGGAGGAGCCTCAGGAGGTCCCCTGAGTCTTGCCTCAGCCTTCTCTCCAGTAGCATCCGGTCCCTTAGTATCCACATGGCTCACCTGGGACCTCTGCTCAGCATCAATGTGACCAACATTTGAGCTCACTGCAGCCTCCCCCACCCCCACCACTGGCCTTCTGGAGAGCTTCTCTCTGACTTCTGACCTACACTCGGTCTCCAGCCCTTTAGCCTCTGGCCTGTCCCCAGGGCCCTCTTCCTCAACCGGGAGGCTCTGCTTTCCAAATAAGTCAGCGTCTGTGCCTGGGCCCCGCCTGGCTCTTTGGGTCTCCGTCCCTTCCTGAGGCCTTGCCTGAGTCTGCATCTCCCCAGCAGAACCCACTCCTGCTGGGGAAGCCCCTGAGGCTTCAGGGGCCTCATCCTTCCCTTGGGGGGCTGGGGGCTGAGGGGCATCGGGGCCTTTCCGGAACCGGGGGGCTGGGGTGGGGGCCACATCCTGGCCTGGCTGCCTTGAGGACCTGAGGAGAAAACAGGAGGGAGGGTTAGGGGCATATACTAGGCCTTCACGGTCAGTTCCTCCCCACCCCCACCCTGCCAGGCCCTAAAGAGGCAGGTGGATGGGGTACAGCTCCCTGGTGGTAGACAGGTGATAGGGTAGGACTGGTTCCCATGCTCACCTCATCTCTGGTGGGGTTCCCGGGGGCCTGGGGATTTCAGGCCCCACTTGGCCCCCTGTTACAACTGCCTCTGACCCCTCGTCCTGGGAGGCCCTGACTGGGGGCCCAGTGACACTCACAGGGGCTAGGCTGGCATCCTTAGCATTAGAGGGACTGGCAGCTGGAGAGGAAGGAAGGAGGGGAGCGTGCTGAGGCCTGGGTCTTGGGACTAAGGCCCAGCCCCCAACCACTTCTAGCCTGGCCCTCACCTTGCTGCTGGGGCTGGACCCGGCCCTCCTCTTCTTCCTCACAAAGTGTCTTCAGCTCCCGAGAAGGCTCTGGGATGGGGAACAGCATCAGCCCTGGCGTGCCCTGTCCAGCTGACCCCTTTGCTCTCCCTCCCTCTCCACAGAGTGCTGGCCTACCTGGGAGACACCCTGGCCTCAGGGCACCGGGCCGGCCTACGAGCAGAGACAGGCCCACATTGCAGAGAAAAGGGAGAGAAAGAGAACCACATGGCAGAGACAGGAAAAGCCTGAATAAGCGCAAGGGAGGGATGAGGAGCCCGTCACCCACCCACTGAGGGCGGGAGGGGAGAATGGAGGCAAGGTCAGAGGTGAGCGTGGATATGAGGTCAGAGGTGAGCGTGGAAGTGAGGCAGAGGTGAGGTCAGAGTTGGGAGAGAGGTAGGGTCTGGTTCCGGACTACAGCCCTTTGTCTGGATTTGGCCCCGGCTGTTTCAGGGACCCACTCAGGGTGAGGGGGAGGTTAGGGGCCTGATGAGACCTTGGAGCCTCATTCCCAAGAAGAACCCAGGCCACCAGAGGATAAGGGGCCAAGTTTGATCCATCAGCTGCTAGGCAGACTGGGATTGTCTGGCTGGTGATGAGCGCCTTATCACTGGGCATGTTGTTGACACTGTCTTGTCCAGCTTGGCACACGGCATGTGGCCCAGGTCAGCCCCACCCTGCTGTGATCCCAGTTCACAGCAGGCTCTGAACTCACCTGGCTGGGGGATGCGGGCCCGAACATCAGGGGTCTCTTCCTCATCGCTCTCAGCAAAGTCATCCAAGTTGCCCACATCAGTGGGCTTCACACTCATGAGGCTGGCCAGACTCTGCATGTCATCGTCCCTGGGATCAGAAGTTAGAGGTGAGGGCTGAGGGCTGACAGAGGTCACAGGCCTGGGTTAAAGGTCAAGCAGACACTCACGTGGCTCGGCCCTCCCGCAGCAGCACCCCTGAGAGGGTAAGACTTAGCTCAGCATGTACCACCTTCACCGACTTGGGCTTCAGTCGAAGCCGCAGGGGAACTTGGGTGGGCACAGGCCCTGCATGGCGGGCCAGGTCCACTTCGGCTGTGGCCAGTACCTTCCGCTGTCCTTTGGATTCCTGCGGATAAGGTGGAAGAGTGGGGTGGAGGAGCAGCAGAGCTACCCAGAGGGTCCAAGGCCCAAGACCCCCATCAGCCCCAGCCAGCCACTTACATTCTCAATGACAAATGTCCACTCTTTAGCCTCGTACTGGTCCACATGGGGATCCTAGGTAAAAGGGACACTGGTGAGCAGGGACCCTGGGGTGTGGGCAGGACTGAGCGAAGCCCTGCCCTGGCTCATCAAGGTGGGGCTGGGTCTGCCACCATGATATTTCTGCTTCCTGGGATGTGGCCAGCCCTCCTGACCCCAGCTCTTAAGTCTACTGCATGCAGGGTTTAATGCTACTGCCTCTAAGGAGCATGAGTAAGGTCATGCCTGTAATTAATATTCTTTTTGTGGGGATGGCTACTCCACTAGGGGACCCCATGGAGGGCTCTAAAACCTGCCCATCCCCATCTGTGTTCACAAGAGACGGGGGCTTACCCTGTATAGGGTCACAGCGATGTCCACGTTCTCTGGCACCATCCACACCACGGTACCCCGGTATGGATTCTGGATACCTGGCTGCCAGCTGTGGGCCTACAATGGGCAGTCTGAACCTCCCACACATGCCGCCACACCACACCCTTATCCCTAGCCCTAACCCCATCTTCCTCACCAGCTCTCACCCACATTCCCTGCTACTTCTCCCAGTCCCAACCTCAGCTGACATGCCCCCACCTTGGAGCAGATGCGTCGGTTCCGCCGAGTCCACACCACTACCAGCTTGTCCGGCTGCCTAAGGGGCAAGCATGTGAAGGAGGAGGGAGGCCTCGGTCAGGTTTCCCCCAAGTCTCCCTGCCTCTTCCTCCCTCTCCCCTTGCTCCCTTAGGGTCTTCCTTTTGCCTATGTCCCCCTCCCTTAGGAGACTCTTGAGGTAGCACCTTATCTAAGGCAACAGGGTGTGGGGGTGGGGCTGCTGAGTCAGGGTGGGGCCCAGGGCAGAAGGGCAAAGGCCCAATAGACCACAGCAGGAACTGCAAGGGAAGGTAGCAAGAGAGAGAGTGTGGAGACACCGCAATGCAAGGACCCAGCAAGAGACAGACAGACCTAGAGACCAGGGGACAAGCAGGATCCTCTGTGTATGTGTGGAGGAGTGAGGCATTTCCATCAAGAAGGATTGTAAATTAATAATTCAGCTAACGGCACTAGCCTCTGGGGTCCCCTTGAGGTTGGATGCAGCTTATGACCCAGGCCTCCCTGACCAGAGAGATGGATGGGAGAGGGATGGGTTTGTGAGGGTCTGGAGAAGAGTGTTCCAGGCCAAAGGAAAACCAGTGCAAGGGGTGGGGCTGGAGGGTGGGAGTGGAACAAGGGCAGGGGCAGGTGGAACAAGGAGCGGAAATAAGGAGGAAGTGGACCATATGGCAGAGAGGAGTGAGGTCGGAGAGGCAGCAGTTGGGCCTGTTGCTTCACAGCCCCCCTCACCTCAGCCTCCTGAACCCAAAGTCCTGGACTGTTGCTTGGCTGGGAGGTGGTAACAGTAGAACCTGGGGGCCACGAGCTCCCACAGCAGGATCATGGTAACCACACAGGGTCCCAGCCCAGCTACATAACAGACATGTTTAGGAGGGTGTGGCACTGTGGGTTAATGTGCGGACGGAAAAGTTAGTTTGAATCAAAAGGTCAGCATTTCAAGCTCACCAGCTGCTCCTTGGAAATCCTAGACAGAGTCACTTTGGGTGGGAACTGACTGGACTGCACTTAACAATGACAACAGTGTTGCCCAGAAGGGAGGGGATGATCAACTTGAAGAGCACAAGCGCCCTCCTCACCTACACCAACACTCAACCAGTCTGCTCTGATGACCCACTCATTGCCCCCTGAAGATGGCGAAACCCAGAGAGGTTGAAGGTCAGGTAAGGTCACACAGCCCAGCCTGGATCCAGGCTCCCCTCTTCAACCCCAAATTACCAACAATGGAGAGGGTAGCATGGGACCTTCCCAGAAAGGGGAAGTGACCCAGGGATGCCCGGGGAGGGTGGGGCCTGGCTGGGCAGCCTGACTCAGGCTGGGCACACCCTCCTGGGAGCTGAGATCTGGGCAGGAGCAGCTTCCTGGCCTGGGCTCCCAGCTGAGAACCCAGGAGGCTCTGCCCTCCACCTGTGACTCAGCCACATTGGCACTGCTGTACCCTCAGTCTGTCCTCTGGGACCAGAGTCCCCCTGGCCTCACCCAGAATGCTGGGACAAAAGCCAGAAGCCAGGGTTCAAGTCCCGGCCTTGTACTGTATGACACTTCCCCTCCCCGCAGCCAACCTCTGACCTCTCTGGGCTTCTTCCAAATAGAGTGACCAGCCTCTGGCAAGCCCCGCATGGCTGAGACCAGGGATGTGGCAGCTGCCCAAGGGACCCCAGCCTCCTGCTCACTTCCCTCCCCTTGGCCCCTATGTTCTCTTCCTGCCCTGGTCCTTCCCCTCAGGGAACCTAAATTTAGCCCCTCTTGGCGGATGAGGTCCCCACAGCTGTGCCCTAATCCCGCCAAGGGAAGCTGACACCAGGGAGCGCATATATTTAGGGTGTGACGTAGGGGCGGGCAGCTGTGGTGGGGGCCTTCAAACTGGGCCCTTCACAACCCGGTCAGGCTTGCATAGCTGCCCCCTGCCCTTCCAGGCTCTTTCCTTCAAGATCTACAGTCTCCTAAATCCACGGCCCCTTTAAACTACTCCCGCCTCCCTCCTCATCCCTCCCTCACTCAGTTTCCCCTTTTAAGGACATCTTCAAGCTGTTTCCAGCCTCCTAGTGCCCATTCTGGCTGAAAGGGGGAGCCCTTTGGCTCAACAAGTGAGAAGGGGAGGAGGGGGCAACATGTGTGTTCCCAGGTGGACTAAGGTCCACGGAGGGTCCTGGCCCAGCCCGACGACCAGCTCTTTTTAATGCCACCCTGAGCCATCTTGTTGGCTGGGGACATGTGGCCTCCCTGCCCCCAGCCCTAAACGCAGCTGAGGAAACTATGGACTGAATTCTCAGGCCTGGAGGTCCAGAGCCTCACCCACCATGGCTGCCTGCATCCCCCAATTCTAGAGGGTCCCACAAACAGCAGTGGCATTTTAAATCTTGGCACCTGGGACGCCAGAGCCCAAGCTGGGATAGGAGCCCCTCTAGTCACTGGCTGGGGGCAGAGTTCTCCCCACCCCTGGATGGGGTCTCAGCCAGGCCAGGAGCGTCCCCCAGGTCTCTCCTTACTCACCATTTCTTGGTGCACTCCACCATCAGCTCATGGTAACAGGCCACAAACTGAAACTTGGCGGCCCGCTTGCCCACGCGCTGCAGGCGCTTCCACACCGAAGTCATGGTTCCCGCCACTCGTTCCTCAAGCCTGGGGCTCCGTCTGGCCCACGATAATTGGCCTGGTGTGGGTCCCCATGGCCCTCTGGGCCCCTCTCCAAGCTGCTGGCCCCGTCTGAGTGGAGGTGTCCCAGGCGCGATTCCGGGGCTGAGCGCCTGCCGCAGCTTCTGCGGCCACCGGGTGGTCTGCGGAATCGGCGAGGTAGTGTCGGACGCGTCGGGTCTTGAGAGCCCAGAGAAGCGAGCGCGCTGTTTCCTGGAGCCGCACCCCCGACGGAAGGCGGGCGGGGCTCCGGCGGGGCGGGGGCCGACCGGCGGGGGGCGGGGCCCCGCGGCTTCCGGGGCCTTGCACTCTAACTGGGGGTAGGGGGGTGACGCCCAGGCAGTGAGGACAGGCGGACAGGCAGGGGCGCGCAGGCCGGAGAGTGGCAACTGGCCACTTGATGCCGCCCTCGGAGCACTGCCCCTCCACCTCCCTTCCTGCTGTTGTCCTGCTTGGGGAGATAGTATTGGTGGCCTATGTCAACTCTTGAGGAACAAAGATCCAGAAAGGGGAAGAGACTTGCCCAGGGTCACAAAGCGAGTCTGCACCAGAGCCAACTTTTGACTCTGGGGACACAGATTCTTGCTGTCATTCCACGTGGTACTCTTAACAGGAAGGAGCAGAGATGAGGGACACCTACCCGTGGGTAGCAGCTACCCCCACCCCCAGTCTCCTTGGCTGTCACGTAGGAAGAGAGTCGAAACCGGCCACAGCAGCTAAAGGCTCAGTTCCTGGTCTCCAACCAAGTATGTGAGCTTGGACGAAGTTGAGAGCCTCGGTTTCTGCCTCTATTAAATGGTGATGATTATAGTTTGCCTTTTCGTACAGTAGTTGAATGAACAGAAAGACCTCGGGAAGCATCTACCATTGGGCCAGACTGATTTTGCAGAGCGCAATAAATGGAGTCCGTTATCAAGGACAGGAAAGCATGTTTGTTTACTCTTTCTCCCCTGGGAAGTCTGCCCCATGAGAGAGAGCCGTTAGCTGCCATTCTCTGACACCCAGATTAGAGCCCTTATCTCTGCCCAGCATGGTAATGAGAGCTCAGGTGTCAGGACCAGAGTTAGGGAACTGCCCGGGGCAGCATGTCATTGTGTCCCCTCCCCTGGCATTCTGCCTGGTCTGCGAATGGACTGACGCGAAGTTCTGTGCTTAATCAGTAGACGGTTTGAACTCGACGCCTGATCCACCGGAAGTGCAAGCTAGGCGGTCTCTAGGTGCAAGGGACCGCAGTAGGGTATGGGGGTGAGCTGCAAGGAGGGGGCCCGCCTGTCATCACTCCATTTCAGGATGTTGTATCCTGTGCAGTGTAGGTCTGAGCACCCATTTCTACTTTCTTCTTGTTGAACCTGACACTTAAGTCTTGGATCCCGGTTACAGCAACGTGGCCCTCGGGTTCCTGTTAGGAAGGGGGCTTTGACGTGCAGCCCTAAAGCTGTGAGGCGTGCTTTGAGACCAGAAGAATGGAAATGTTTGGGACCCCAATCATTGTCCCACTGGCCTCTGCAGTGCTTCCCAAATACCCACGGGGCTCAACTTCCTGGCCTTTCCGGGTGGTGTCAGTCTGTCCTCTCTCCCGCCCAGGGGCCCCTTAGCCGCCCGCTGTGGCCCACCCATTTCCTGTGCCGTCTCAACTCCGCCCCACTAGGGTGGAAAGTTTCTCTCCTCAAGATGGATGGGCGGTTCCTTCCCCTTCCCGGCTGACAGGGAAAGTCCAAAGCCCAGAGGGGCTAAGGGGAAGGGGGGGCGGGGGGGGGCGAGGGACCGGCTCCAGAGAGGGAAAATGACTTGTCCACAGAGACCTGGCTGAGCGAGGCTCTGCCAGGTTGAACACTTCCCACCACCACTTGAGGAGAGATTCGCACCCCATCCTCACCAAGCCTTCCACTCAGCGTCTCAGGCGCTACCTGCAGGCTGGTCATGGGGCGGCACATACCAGCAACTTTGCTGTATTCCCACACCAGAGCCAGGCAATCAGAGATCTCGACACCACTGAGAATATTTATTTATCTATGCACCAGGAGGCTAGCCCCCAAACTTAAATATCCAACATGGAGCCTTGGCCCTCAGGGCCATGGGGAGGTGTAGGGATGGGTCCTGGGGCCCTTGTCCAGGGCAATGGAACTCAGGGATCATGGGTAGGATGCTCTGAGCCAGCAGCTAGGGAGCTGACAGCCACTTTTACCCCAATTCCAGAGATACTAAGGGGAGGACAAGATGCTTTGGGCCCTGCCACCTGACAGAGGATTGGGCAAAGTGGGGGTGCACATGTGGAAGAAGTGGAGGTCCTCCAGGTGCCATGGCAGAGGCTGCAGCCACAGCACCTACCCCAGTGCCAGCTAACCTAAGACAGAAGGGGTGGTGATAGTTTGGGCTCCGAACAGGCCTTGCCCTCCGCTGAGGTGAGCTGAGGTGAGGTGGAATGCAGGGAGAGCAGGCACTGATGTCAAACAATGTGCCAAGGGGTGAGGTTCTGAGCCTTTCACGGGGCTCTCCTGCTCTTCAGAGGCTGATGTGGAAAGCATCCTGAAGCCACTGGTCACGGGCATTGTGTGTCTGGGGCACTGTAAGGGGTGGCGGGTCAGGGGGAAGGCTGGCATCAGGGGGTTCCTCGTCATCCGAGAGGCTGCCATCGGGTGGGTAGGAGCTGTCCGAGTGCAGGGAGGATGACAGATCCTGGCATAGATGCTTGTAGTCCTGGATCGATTCATACAGGCCCCAGAGCTGGCACAGTAGGGACATGTCCAGTTGTCGCAACCCCACCTACAGACAACTGAGGGTGGGCTGGGGTTGGGGTCTAGGTCACCCTCAACCCCCACCTCCTGGAATCCAGAGCCCCCTGCCCTGGTCGGGGCCAAACCAATCTTCCCATACGAGGTACATGTTCGTGGTCATTAGACTTCACGTGCACGCTTGGAAACTTTTAGGTACAACAGAACCGCTAGCAAGGTGAACTAAGGTAGCAATGAGTAAAATCGCTATGGCTGTATGGTAACTGTTGCCACAAACGGTATCTGTTACTAATGGCAGTTACCATGTCCGCATTGACATGGCCGGTATTCGGGTCCTCTGAGACCCGGGCTAACAATTCCCGATAGCATGCCCCCCGCCTGGTCAGTTCAGCGTCCACCTACTCACCATCTCCTTGCGCAGCGCTGCTAACGCAGAGTCAAGGTTGACCCGGCGGCGCGGGCCGGTAGGGCCGGCGGCAGGTCCCGCATTGGCACCATTGGCAGCGTGGCGGGGGCCATCCGGAGCACGGGCGGCACGGCTCAGCTCATCATGGATGCGGCTGCGCTGACTGTAGACACGCTCCAGCTCCCGCCATGAGCCCCCGCTTGCGTTGAGGAGGCCGCTGAGGCCGCGCGGTAGCGGCGGGAGTCCGACCAGGGAGCAGCCAGCGCCGCCCGGCGCCTCGGCCGAAGGCAGCCCGTTCATGGCCGGGCCGGCGCGGACAGCAAAGACGCCTCCTCCCCTCCAGCGCCCCGCCCAGACCGCCACCAGCGGGCCCAGCACAGCACCCCGCCGCCGCCCAGTAAGGCCGCGCTTTGTTCCAACCCAAGCACCACAGACTCCGCCCTCTGTCCCGCCCACTTGCAGGGGCTGGACCCCTCTTAAAAGAGAAATGGAAGTGGGACCACATCGAGCAAAGCAGAGATCAGTAAAGGAGACACCAAGCGAAGAAAATGGATCCTGACAAGCGGGTAAAAGTAGCTAAATGGAGAAAGCGCGGTTCTTTTAAGATTCTCTTGGCTCCTCCCCACAGTTTTCAATTGTTTCACCCAATTACGATCCCAAGAAAACCAAAGACCTCGCACAGAACCTGTCCCCTCCCCTCCTCTATTAGATCTAAAAGTAGGGGTTAGGAGCATTACTTGGCAGGGGCCATCACAGTCTCCTTCCAGTCTTGGAGCACTTAGGGTCGGCATGAGGTGGGATAGGATGATGGAATTACTATGTTCGGGGGCCAAAAGGGGAGCCCATCGGGGCTGGAAGCCAAAATCTCGCTCATGTGTGGGGGATGAATTCTGGCTGAGGAGACTGTGGGGGCGGGACTCTGCCAGTGTGAAAGCTGGTGGCCCTTTGAGAACACCTCAAGTTGTGGTTCCCTCCTTGCATAGTCCCCTCAACCTCTAGAAACAAGCTCAACCCCTCTCTCAGGGCATGAAGAAAAGCAGACCATGGAAGGGTTGGAGGTCAAAAGTGGGGAAAAGGCAAGTGAGGGCAAGCATGCACCCTCAGAACCAGGGAAAGAACAAACCACACAGAGGAGCAGCTCTTTTTCTCAGGGGCTTGTTTTAGGGTTGCAGCTGCCGCAGGCTTTGCAGGGCCTCGGCACAGCCCCGGATAAGACTACACAGCTGGATGCTGGTCTCCACGGAGCTGCTAGAGCCCAGCTCAGCCGAGGCCCAGCTCAGCTTCTGCAGGAGGGCCGTCTGTGTGCAGGTCAACACATCCGTATTTGGGGGCACTGCAGGAGGGGCCGGTCCCTGGGCTGCTTTGAGTGCGGCTGCAGCGCCCTCACAGTGCTCTGGACGAGGTACTGGGGGCTGCGGGGCTGGCCGAGAGCTTGAGGGGGTATCCGAGGCAGAGGCCAGCTGATGCTCCCGAGCTTGGGAGAGGGCAGCCTGGGCATTCAGAGCTAAAACAGAAGCGAGTGGGAGGAATGGTTAGGAAGCCGGGCCCACCTCAGCCCTGAACCACCTCCTGTTGTCCGGTCTGCTCTTTGTGTCTTTGAGGTGCTTTATCTGCCCCTCTGTAAGATAACTAACTCATCCACTCTGTTTGGTGGCACATTTATGTATGTGCCCTTGCTCCCCTTCAGCCATCAGGGCTGTGCCTGACTTCAGACGCTTCCCTGGTGTCTGGCTCACAGAAGAAGGTGCTTAGTGTTCTTACAGAACGGACTAACAGGAGAAGGCACCTTAACCCCCGCCACACCCAGAATCCCTTTTCACTCCTAGGTCTACAGTCCCTGGGCCTCCATCACCACGCTCTTTACCAAGCATATAGGACCCCTCACCAGGATTATCTTTATCTACATCCGAGTCGAGCTCCTGACAAGCCACGCAGTAGACCTTCCGCTGTTTGTCTTGGAGGAGGATCGTCTAGGGGCCAGAAAGCACACCCGAGCAGGAGTGAGACGCTAGGTCCAGAGGGGAGAGCTGTGGAAGAGCCGTGCGGTCTGGCCCGCGGCTCCGTCCCCGGCCCTCCCGCTCCAGGCCTGGCCTCACCCCGCAGTCCGTGCACGTCTCGCCCAGCATGCGGTATCCGCGCAGCAGGTAGTCGCCCATGAGTCGGGAGATGCGATCCTGCCGTTCCCGACGCGCCTGCAGGACCTTCGTCTCCGCCTCAGTCGGAGGCTCCCAGGAGAAATCATCAACTTCTGGGGGAAGAGAGGCACAAGGGGCCTGGGGATCTTGCCGGAGCGAGCTGCTTCCTGTACCCCGCAGCCATAGGCCCCCGCAGGCCAAATCCTCACCAGCGCCGTTTAAGGCCATGTTGCCGTTGTCTCCTCCTGGCTCATCGGAAGTGACGCGCAGGGAACGCGCCTTCCCGTGCGGCTCCGCCCCCTCCATATTAGGCCTGGAATGAGGGCAGCTATAACGTTTCCGGGTGGTCTTTAGCTTTCTAGTTGCCCAGAGTGGGGCGTGTCTGGCCGCTATCTGGACTCTGCCGTATTGGAAAGTACAAAGAAGGATTTCCCAGTGGGCGGAGCCTTTCGATTTGCTGAATTTAAGAAAAAGCCGTCTCTGCAGCAACCCAGTTTGGGTCGCTCTTCCAGCCCTTCTTGGATGAAGGGAACTTTACTAGAGCAAATCCTGCTGGCCTCTGCCTCCTTGGAGTTTCCCTTTATGGATAGGTCGGGAGGAGAGAGGCATCACAACAAACCAAATCCGTTTTCTATCCAGTCGAGTAGTGTGATCCTATAGGACCGAGTAGACCTGCCCAGAAGATTTCTGGCCGTAATGTCTAAGAAGCAGATTGCGGCTGGTGGGTTCAGGTTGCAACTTAGCATTTTAACCCTGCGCCACCAGGACTCCTATCACAACCACCGCTGCCCGCGTGGAGCCTCTCGAATCTCAGTATTTTTTTTTTTTTCTTTTCTTTTCTTTTTATGCTGAAGCAAGCAAGTTTTAATGTATATGAGATATACGGAGAGCCAGTGTTTCTTACTTCAGCCTGGCAAGGCAGAGACCATTCTTGCTTTCTGTCCTCAGCCCTCCCCTTCAGCATGTTAAGTGTTCTAGACGTCCTCCGCGTTCTCCCACCTTTCCTCCGAAGTTCTGGGACAGATGCACAAATCTGATCCTAAGTCATTTGAAGGTTTGTTGTATTGTTAGGTCTCGTCAACTCGGTTCCGACTCATAGCGACCCTATGCACCATAGAACGAAACTGTCCAGTCCTGCGCCATCCTTAAACAATCCTTGCTTGTGGCCACTGTATAATCCATCTCTTTGTGTGTGGGGGCCCTTCCTCTTTTTCGCTGACCCTCCATTTTACGAAGCATGATGTCCTTAGAGGACTGATCCCTCCTGATAGTATGTCGGAGGTATGAGAGATGCAGTCTGCCATCCTGGCCCTCAGAAAGCATGAGGACAGAAAAACGTTGTACTGGACATGGGAGTCCCGGTTCCCAGTTGCAGCTGAGTGATGCAAACTGGGGGGAGGTGGGGAAGCTTATTATACAAGTATGTGCTGTGATTTTTAGGTTCTTCTTGAGTTGCAAATTAGATTTCCCAGGGCTCCTTGAATAGTGGTCTTGGTGATTTCCCCCCTATCGTCTGTGTTCCTTTTCTACAGGCATCCTTTGCCAAGTGAAAGGATGTTACTTATTATAGTTGGCCTCCCCACTCTCCCATCTTCCCCCTGAAGGCCCTTGTGAAAAACAAAGCTTCAGGAATTGACAGAATACCATCTGAACTGCTTCAGGTACTTTGGATATGTTATCTGGATGAAACAGTCCTTCGAAAAGGACATCATGCTTGGTGTAAAAGACAGGGCGAAAATGATGTGGAGGCCATGTCTGACTTCCTCTGGCTTCACAAATGGAAAGTAGAATTAGACTTAAAATCAACCCAGCACCCATTCCTATGAGGCAGAGGTCATAGACATGTGGCCCCCTCCGCCTTTGCTCTGTTGGGGCAAGTGTTACAAGGCTCCTTTAGCTAGTTTGTAAATGCCCCAAAAGCAAATTCTGCAATCCAGCCTCCTGCCTTCAAGTAGGCACTCAATTTTACTCAGTCCATGGGTCAGGAAGTCCACAGATGCTTTTTGTATCCACACCACCACTCTGTCGTCACCGCTTTTCCTGGTAGGGACATCATGCTCTGCTCATGGTTCTTCTTGTTTGTCCTGGGTTCATCTGTTCCTGATTCTGAGATGACTGCTTTTAAACTGATCCTGATGGCTAACTAACTAATCCTGGCCTTCGAGTCCTGTCCACCCTATGTGCATGTTCCCACCCAGTCATTTGGTGGGCATTAAGAAGACTTTGGATGGAAAAGCCAGATCAGGTAAATTCACAGTACCACAGCAAAAGAGCGGAAGATGCCTCTAGAGATGGACTGACACAGAGGCAGTTAGAGTGGGCTCAAACTTAATGTAATTGTGAGGATGGCGCAGAATCAGGCAGTGTTATGCTCACTTGTTTAATTGGGTCGCTCTGAGATGGAGCTGACTCCATGGCACCTAACAACATCCTCTGCCTTATTAGGTTTGAAAAGCAAGACAAGGCAGGCAAGAGTTCAGGTATTTGGCTTCTCCCCAGGACAGTAGGGAAGGAACTAGGAATTGTTGTTGTTGGGTGTCTTCGAGTCAGTACTGAAACACAGCAACATTATACACAACAGAATCAAACACTGCCCAGTCCTGTGTCAACCTCAGAATCATTGCTACGACTGAGCTCATTACTGCTGCCACTGTGTCAATCCATCTCATTGGCGGGGTGTGTGTGTGGGGGGGGTCTTCCTCTCTTACGATGAATCTCCATTTTACTAAGCATGATGTCCTTTTTCAGGGGCTGGTCCCTCCTTATAATATGTCTGAAGTATGAAAGATGAAGTTTCACTATCCTGGCTTCTAAGGAGCATTCTGGTTGTACTTCTTCCAACACAGATTGGTTTGTTCTTTGTATCTTTAATATTCTCCTCCAACACCATAATT